CCTAAACCCTAAACCCTAATCCTTCCCTGCTCCATGTTTCGCTAACACTGGCCCACACAAGTCACTAAATCTGGATACGATCTAGGTCTCCTCACACGTGCACAGTCTTACCAGTAATACATGCTACGAGCGAGCTTGCAGCCTTCGCCCGCAGCAGTGCCTGTGAAGCATAATGTATCTTCTGCTGCACAATAGTTGACGTCAAGTCGAAGTCAGAACTTTACTTCCAAACTTGGCATAGTCACAGTGTGGCGCAACAGTTTTCGCAAGATTTGGGCTATTGGCTTTGCCGGGATCCACCAAGCATCTCCTCCTTTCCTAGACTTTCTTGCTCATAGATTTCTTGCCTGTCTACATCTGCCCTCTTCACTCTCCGCCCTTCTTGTTTCACTCCCGAAGGGTCCATGTACTAATATGGTAGCTACTTTGTAGGTATTTGGACCCCCAAAGTATATACTATACTATAACTTGGACCCTTTGGGACTGCTTCTCGCGTAAATCATGCCGATCCCCGCCTGCATTCTGTGCTGTAGACTCGGCAGCTACATGGGGGCTTCCGTAAATAGGGGACCCTAATATAGTACCCTAAATAATAGGACCCTTATTATAAGGACCCCAAATAAGGTACCCAAATTTTCGGAAAGTCCCACATCCGTTGTGGGGAGTCGACAAAAGCCCTAAGCCAGAACGGTTTAGGGTTTAGGGTTTAGGGTTTATAGGGGTTTAGGGTTTGGGGTTTAGGGTTTAGGGTTTAAGGTTTATAGGGGTTTAGGGTTTAGGGTAGAACCCTTGCGGTTGGAGGCTTGTGCGACCGCGAGGCCCACGGTGGGATCGTGATCGAGCAGCAGCCTTGAATCAAGGAAGCATGTGGGTGGTTGTCTAAATTAGGGTCACTTTTTTGGGTCCTTATTATCATACGGCACCTATTAGGTACCCCCTAAAGGGACCATAATTTTGACAACTACCCATGTGTTTAGGGCCCAGTTTAGGGTTTCGGGTCAGCGCAATGCAGACACTGGGACGTGGAACAGAGTTGCAGTATACAGCCATAGTACAACTGTATAGGGAGAAACTTGGATTTAGGTGCTTTGAAATTTGCAGTACAGGGTGACAACGATACAGGCTAGTAAGCATTACAGTTCAAATCAATCTGTTGCCCATGCCGACTGGGATGCTGGTCATGGGAGAGGTACCTCGACTTTCGCCACAACGATTAGGTGCTCATAGGTGCTCGGTGCTGCTACTGCTCTGCTCGTGCTCTGAAAAATCAACAAAATGAGGAATGATGATGGCGATAACACGCTTTCTGACTAGAAGTACGCAGCACATTTATCGCCGCGCACTAGCTCTGTTGGGAATCAGCACGGCCACAGGTGCTAGTACATAATGCTCATTCCTTCCTGTTCGATACTGTGGCTAAGAGCACATCAAGCTGAGCATCACCCTAATGCTTGTAAGGCTAGATGCAGCACTACATCTCGTTTATGCTGAGTGTAGTCGTGGCACGAAAGACACACATTTTAAGGTATCAGTGTATACAGATGTTTGCATAATACATAAACACAGAAAAACCTCCGTAGACGCATGCAAAAACAAATGCAGATAGGTAAATCGCCGGAAGAGCGCCTTGAACAATTTGCATTACCATATACACGCAGTCGCAAAGGATACATCTGGAATCTAGAAGGCATTGAGGCTCGCTTCTCTCACACCTTCAAGCGCCAGCAGCCCAAAGATCCAACATCAAAACGGGATTCCTCGCCAGGTGGCTGCTGAATGCCTTCGACGATGTTGACAGCTCCACTAGCAGCCCGCCCTTCGGAATGGGACTACTCAAGCAGTGATGTTTCACCTTACCCCGACATCCCAATACCTTTAGGGTTTAGGGTTTAGGGTTTAGGGTTTAGGGACTGTCAGCATAAGCATTTCAAACCAAAGACAACAACTCAAAATGAGCACAAAAGAGCAGGCACAAGACGACCAGTCGTTGCAGTAGGCAAGAGTCACAGGGCACCGTTCCCTGGCCGCATCAGTCACCACCACCACCTCCACCATCATCCCCTTCGTAATATTGGGGCCTACGCCGCGCTTGCTTACACCCGCGTACAGGCTGGGTGGTTTTGGGCTGGGTTGACACGTGAAAGAAAATCCTAGTCGGTTCGAGCCATTGCACGAGTCTGCCCGGCAAGCAATTTCGCAAAACATTCTTCTGCTGCTTGTAGGTTTAGATGGTGGGCGTCATGTCATTGTGCAAGTACCAGTATGTAAAGGCTCAGGGGGCGAGTGCATAGGTTGCAAGTAAAGCTGTGGATGGATAGATGTGCACTGTGTCTTCCTGTGTCTACAAATAGAATCTATGGTTACCCTACGCCCTGAACCCTAATCAGTGTCCTCGAAGTACCGGAGTCCTTTGGACAAACAAGAACCCTTCTAGGAATCCTCAAACAAGCCCTTGGTCGGAATCCTTAGAAGGATCTTTACAGGAATCCACAAACCCTTGATAGGAACCCTCAAATGGACCGGGTGTGGAGTTTGGAAACGGAATCACAAGACTCAATTTCAATCCGGCCGAGGGGGGAACACATTTTTGGATTTTTGGGGATAAAAGGGTTTTGAAAGGTTTTCCGCGATTGATCTGGTTTTATAGGGAACTTGGGGATTTCATGAATTACCAGGCATTGTACGAGTGCATATGTTTTTTGTCGTTCAAATGCTTAGGAAAGATCCGGGCAGTCTCGATCCCAGCAGTCTCATTCGAATGATACCGTAAGACCTAAACCCTAAACCCTAAACCTCGGGTTTTTGGTCTGGTCGGCATTTTCCCTAGATCCCAAGTCTCCCGAACCCACACTCCCGGAACCCAAATTTAGGGCTTCAGGTCCTGGGGCCTTTAAGCCCTAAAACTCGTGAAACCCAAGCCGGCAAGGTCGGAGCGCCCAAGCCCTGGACAAAGAAAGGCCCTCGTTCGAACCCAAAACGGAGCCTTCATGTAACGGCCTTTACAATATTAGAGTAGGGTTTTGGGATATATTGTACTATAACTATAATAAGGAACCCCCCAGTATAATACAGGCAACTATTTAGGCCCCTATACTAAACACAAGGACCGTCAACAGCGCTGCGCCCGGACGTCTTTCCAAACATTACTTGGTTTGTTGAGCGAAAAGCTGAAACTAGTGTCAAATACAGGCGAAACTAGTGTTGGCATCCCTTTATGTCAGGATGACTACAAACAAAACAAAGATAAATGCTTGAAAATCAAGACGAAAGCCCCACAGTGAAGACTTCTGAACAGACCTATGCGCCCATGGATGCTCTGCGAGAACGCATGGAGCCTGGGTGGATGTTGTCATGGTTGGCCAATGGAAGCAGTGCGAGAACGGATGGAGTCTGGGTGGATGTTATCATGGTTGTCCAAAAATGACGAGGCCGCATGCGATTTCGAGGCTGCAGGAGACAGTTGCCCTGTAAAGCGCAGTGCGGGAGGAAGGTGTCTAGATGCGTCCCAACTCCCGGTGGGGAGGCTCAACGGCTCAACATCAAGCCTCATCTTTGACTTTGGGGTGTTAGGGTTTGTTGTGTTAGCGCTCCCCCACTCGAAACCCTTAACCCCCCTGCCCAGCAAGACCTCCCAGAAGGTGACGGAGAACCATCAGCGAAGCCAGGCGTTCCTCGCGGGTACCCTTCGCCTGCGCCCCAAGGCTGCAAGTGACTGGCTCGAATAGAGTTTAAAACGCAGGGGACAGATGTAAAGAAAGAGCCGAGGAACAAGGCAAGAACCATTGTTTTGACATGGATGCTGCAGGTGATGCTGGTGGTGCTGTTCACATGCTGGGACTCCAGGTGCCCAAGCCAGTTGCTTCCTTGCAGAGGCAACTTCAACAGCCTCGAGGTGCTTGCTTCGGCCTTCCCAATATCTATAGCTGGAGGACAAGGTATAAAGACTCTGAACCCGCGAACCTCAAAACCCTTCACCCTGTGAAGCCTTATGTCCCCGAACCCTGGGATCCTATTCTGTAAATCAATGCTTTCGCGCCCGCTCCCCCCAAAAGCCCCAAACTTCAGAGCCCCAATAACCTAAGACTCCGAAGCCCTAAAGCCCCAAACCATGCAGCCCACAATCCGCGAAGCCAAGGACCCCCCAGCCCCCAGCCTTATCCATATGAGCCCCAAAGCACAATCAACACATCCTCATCCTCAGCTTCCCCTGAGCTCCAAACCCCAAACCACTAAGCCCCTAAAGCCCTGAACCCCCAATCCAGAAACCCGAACACCCCAAACCCCAAACTCTCAACTGAACAGCGGTTGAAATCGGGGCCGATCCTTCTGCAGCAAGAAGCCATAGGTCTCTGAAGCAAAGCACTCGGCGAGGATTTCGAAGCATTGGAGAAGCTCCGCCTCTTTTAGATGAGCTCATTATGAGAGGTACTGTAACGGTTACAGTAAGAATCATTATTGGACCTCTAAGACCCTTGTACTATGCTTGCGACGAGCACAGGGATCGCGACAATGCGTCCATCTGAGCTATACTAATCATTTCGTGTAATTAGTTTGTACAAATGCCACAAGGTCCATTTTAGCATCCCTGCACGGATTTCTCTCGGGGCTTGGGGTTGTTAGGGGTTTCAGGGTTCGGGATCGTAGCAGCTTGTAAGGCTTGCTTACACTCCGTCCAATCACGGTTTCTGGATCACGGACGAGGGTAAAGTTTAAAGGGTGCTGGAACACTGAGGAGCACAGGACGAGTATGAGGAGGATGACAACATCGACAACCTGCTCTAGAAGAGCAGCTCATGTTGACACTGTGACTGCAATATAGACATGTTTTTGGTTCTTGCTCGTGATATTTACTGCCGGAGTTCCATCGGTTCAAAGCGTCACGCTCGAATCAACAGTGAACAGACGGACCAAACAGTGCACAAAACACACACACACACTCTCTCACACACACAGAGATACAGCGCAAGCACATCCGAGCAGGACAGCCGTCTTTTGCCTACGGAACACATGAGCACGCCAGGAAGAGACGTGGGTACGGGTCTCTCTTCTTGCCCTCATAGCCCAACAAATCCCTGCATCACCCTATGAAGACCTCTGGAGCCTCAAGCCCGAGCACTACGAAGCTCTACACTCCAACGTCTAACATGCCACACCTGAACACCCGCAGAGACTACAAACGCTACACCGGCAGCTGAACTGCAAACACCCCAACGCCAACTCTTCTCATGGGGTTTTGTTGTGGGTTGTGTATATAGTATAGGGTTTGTATGTTTTTGGACCTTTATAAGTTATAAGTGTATCATGAAGATCTGTGGTCGTAATTAGCCCTCATTGAAGAGTGCAGGCGGCCTGGCTTTGCAAGGCCTCCTGGCTCAACCCAGGCTCCTGCCCGATGGGTAGGTCGGTAGGTCGGTAGGTAGGTTGGTAGTAGGGAGGTAGTATGTACAGGCAGGCAGGTAGGTGTAGGTGGTAGGTAGGAGGTAGATAGTGGGTAGGCAGTCAGGGAAGCACGGCAGGTGGGCAGATCGGTGTAAGCATGGAGCTGTATGTGGCTGGCAGGCTGCCCTGCGGGCCTGCAGGCAGAATGGCGGGTGGGCGGGCTTGTCCGCATGCATGCATGCCTGCATGGGTGGATGTGGGCAAAAAGCTGTATGTAGGGATCACGACCGACCCACCCGGCACTCACACCTCTTTGACCCTTCCGCCGCTGCATGGCAGGCCCGAAGTGAGCCATGGAAAGGTAAGCTTAAAACATGTCAATATATATATATATATAGTTATATATATATATATAGTTATATATATATATATAGTTATATCTATATACACATACACATACATACATACATACATACATACATACATACATACATACATACATACATACATACATATATATATATATATATGTATATGTAAGCACTTCCTTGCGCTGCAGTGCGAGGAGTTGCTCTGGAGTTGTCCTGCTTGCTGAGCGCCCGAAGTTCAAGTCCGGAACTCCGAAGTTCAAGGCCCTACAAAACACTACGATATACTACTAATATACTACAATATAGCATAATGTACTACAATATACTATGATATTACTGATACTACAATATACTATGAGATACTGCAACATAGTATAGTATGCGATGACATAGCCCCCGAGCGACAGCGACTCCTGCAAAGGACCTCTGAGAGCAGCCCAGGCAAAGAGAGAAGACAGCATAGTCTGTAATGTGCTCCTTGGACTGAGGGGTTTAGGGGTTTAGGGTTTAGGGTTTAGGGTTTATGGCTTTCAGGAGAGTTTAGGGTGGGGTTTAGGGTTTTGGTGTTTTGGGCTTTTTGTTGGGTTTAGGCGACGCGGCTCTGGGGCTCAAATATGGCACAGGTTTAAAGGGTTGGAAGCTAGTCTGGTGGCTGAAACACAGGGTTTAGGGCAGTTTAGGGTTTAGGGGTGGTCTGCTGAAACACCAAGACACCTGGTCCACTCACGCTCGCATCCGCTGGCAAAGTGGTTTGTCTCAGCCAAGTGTCTCCAGTGTGAGTATTTCTGGATCGGCGTCGATGCAAGCCTTGCGAGCACAAGGCCGTCTGATAATGGACGCTGGCAAGGAAGCTGCAGCCGGAAAGGGTACCGCATGTGGCATCGTTCAAGTGCCACGCATCTAGTCTACCCCTGTTTGCCTTCTACATTTTGGGTTTAGGTGAGACAGTCGTTGCTGCAAGGTACAGGAACTAAGCACAAGGCGCGGGAAAAAGACTTGGTCCTCAAGAGTTTCGATTGCAGAACGTCTTGGCTTGAAGCATCTTCTGCTGCCGAACCTGCAAGCCTGCACGTGAAGTCCTGAGTCAACGAAACTCATCCCCAAGAGCCTCGACCTTGATAGGGACCTAAATGATTAGAACATGTGTTGGGGTATACTGTACTATACCATGTAGTACGGGGCAACAGGATGTTACTACTGAGTATGCGCCTTAAGCCTTAAACCCCACATTCCTGCGCGTGCCTGCAGGGCCAGTGATGCCCCACGGAGCAGTCGAAGAGGTGGCAAGGGGCTTGCTGCCGTGGTGAAGGCACCCTGCGGAATTGCGACGGCTTTGCCGACTAAACATCCCAATATGGAAGGGAGAAGCCATGATGCAGCAAAGAAAAGCGGTAGCTGAATGGGTAGGGTGGACAACATGGCAAATACTTGGAGGACCATGGGACTTAGTAAGTAATGTTATAAGTCCCTTAATTGGGGTTATAAGTATAGTTACCCTAATTATAACCCTACTTACTAAGTCCCATGATCCTTTAAGTAAGACACTATTACCCTTGCTCTTCATTACCCCGAAGGAGGCGCTGAATGTGCTGCACTCTGAGTGACATGCTGTTTCAAAAGTGTCGCTGGTCAGTCCACGGTCAGCACTGCATGTTTTTGCTTAGTGTAGGGTTTAGGGTTTAGGGTTTAGGGTTTAGGGTTTAGGGTTTAGGGTACAACTTAATATGGGGCCTCAATAGTTAGAATAGGATTTTGGGGTGAAGCGGACTGAACGTCTGAGCGAGGAAAGAAAAGCAGAGTGTCTGGTGCACCGTCTTGAATAAAGACCCTCAGAGCAAATTAAGCTCTTAGTTTATCAACGATGCGTCTAACCCCCAAAATAGTATTGGCAATTACTTAGGCCCCTATAATACCACGGTTGCAGCAACAACCTGTTGCGACTACTGGTCAGTTGTTGGAAATGCAGGCCACCATGGCAGATACCAGTCGGTGGGTGCCCAGAATCCGGGCAGTTCGTCAATACAATTACAGCCTGACTTCTTCATTCTCTAATAGTCAGGACATTACTGGACTTTGACCATGCCATATTGCGTTTCACGAAGATACAACTGATGCCACAGTATACAGTATACACGTGCTATTTAATTGCCACAGCCTGCATAAGAGGGCAACAGGAAACAATGCAATGCTGGCCTGGCGGGACAACAATGACGCGATATGCTCTAGCCTGAGGCAAACATCGGAAAGCAGCATCACATGGGAATAGAGGGCTCGCTGGGTACAACCTCGAGGGCAAGCCTGTGGTTCAGGGGCAATTAAGTGCGAACTTCAGCTCATGCTGGCACACAGGAAGAGTGTTACAGCGACGTCACAACATTTTTCGTCACGCGGACGGAAGGACGCCTGCAAGCCGGTCAATTGACGACAGACATGCCGCCAAGTGGCAACGAATCAGCGTTTGTCAGGAACTGATCTTTTGGAATGACGAGGCTGATGTGCCCCAAGGTCTCAACAGCTGCCACCCGGAGGTTCAAGTCCTGGTCAACGAAAGCATGACTTAAGTGCCGAGTTTTTGTTCCAACGAGCAGTCGCATGCGGCTTGTCGCTGCTAACGACAGGAAAGACTATGACGTCTACTTAAGCTGTGATAAAAGTCGGCAGCAGAAACAGTAGTCTGGCTAATTGCACAGGTACTAGTATGAATGGTATCCGCACCATTGCGATGTCTTCCACCTCTGACATTAACACCAACGATCAAGACGAACCTTGTCAGACCCGATATCTCTTCTCTGATCTTCTCCCGAGGGTTTAAGCATGTCATTCTATGGCCCAAGAGGGTTAAGCCCACTCCCTCAGTGTCCTTCCATGTCGGCCACGCACTCATGACCAAGGCGAAGACAGCGCCCAGGATCTGCGCTGCCTGGCTCGGGGAACTTGCATCGGTTTTGGGGTTGGGGGTCGTATATAGAGCTCGTGGTTTGTCTAGGGTTCAGGAATCGTAGATTGTCTAGGTTCAGGAATTAAAGTACTTGAGGTCGAGGCTTTAAGGCTTTGGCCCTGTATCATTTTCGGATCTTTGTTTCGCTAAGTACCCTGAACCCGAAATCCGAAGCCTTACATCTCTGAGTGCGATGGTTCTTGCAGAGACTTTGACGCCCTCTGATCTCTCACCCCTGAGTCGAAAAAGGCTTGAAATCCTGTGATTGTAACATCGCGGGGCCTCAATAATTAGAAGAACGGGATGTATATATATAGGTATATATATATATATACATATCATACATGAATACTAGAGTTATAGGGACTATAGGAGAATGAGCTACCCGGATTCATTCAGACCCAGGAACTACTGACGGCGGCCAACTCTTGCCCCCCCGTCCCGAGCAAAACAACCCCTGAATGTTCATGTGCCAGACATGAGTCCTGCCATGCCTAACAGTAACAGTAAAGTAGTAAAATGTTCCTTCCCTGACTGCCTGCCTTCTTGAAGTCGTCAGGAAGGGCTCGAGCTGCCTTAGGGCGAGGTTTCTTGGAGGAGGCGAGCCTTACCCCTCGTAACATCGAAGGTTGGACTCCGGAACCCATGACTATCGGTGCTTGACATACTTGCGATGCCGCTGTGTTCAGTACTGCATGTTTTTTTCTGTTGAGTCTACCTTGCGTATGGTGGCAGCAGAACGACCGGGGGGAGGAGTTGCTGCGGAGAAGGTTGCTAGCGGCTAGCGGCATGGTTTTGAATGTGATCATACTGGTGGTGGTGAGCCGTCATATGCTTCTGCGGAGGGCTACGAAACGCGTAGCTGCAGAGCACCAACGTCGCATATCCCGAGGCATGCTGACTTCACGGACTCATAGGGGTTAAGGGGTGCCGGGACAGCCCTCCGCAGCTGCTTTTGAAAAGGCTGGTTGAATTCATGTGGCTGCAGCTTTTTGACCCCAAATCCGTCTCCTAACCTTGTATATACATGTATATATCTCTATATCTCTCTCTCTCTCTCTCCCGTGCAGATGAGGGGCCAGACCCTTGCCTGCATTTCGGATCACTTTGGAGGCCTCGGCAAAGTCTCGGGTGAAGGTCGGATCGCTCACGTCCAGGGGCTCGCTGAGGTCTGTAGCGCAACAGACCATGGCCACACCTTACTTGAAGGATCATGGGACTTAGTAAGGGCGTTTTGGGGTGAGGTCAGGGCGACTTTAGGGTTTAGGGTTTAGGAGTTTAGGAATTAGGGTTTAGGGTTACTACTTAAAGGATCATGGGACTTAGTCAGTAGGGTTATAACGAGGGTAACTATACTTATAACCCCAATTAGGGGACTTATAGCATTACTTACTAAGTCCCATGCTCCTCCAAGTAGTCATGTGGAAACAATCAGAGTGAGTTTCGGTACATACGTATGGACATACACTTGCATTCGCATAAACAAGCATAGGCCCGTACCTACGTACAAACCTACCTGCATACCTGCCTGCCTGCGTACCTACATACGTACTGTATGTATGTATGTACGCATGCATGTACCTGTAGGTGGATAGATAGATGGATGGAGTAACAGTTTGAGCGATGGATCGCGGGTCGTCGGTTGGATGGCTGGCTGGCTGGCTGGCTGGCTGGCTGGCTGGCTGGCTGGCTGGCTGGCTGGCTGGCTGGCTGGCTGGCTGGATGGATGGATGGATGGATGGATGGATGGATAGGTAGAGATACGTGCATGTGCACATATATATATATACACACATGCACATGTATGTACGTATATATATATATATATATGCATACAGCTTATATGTATGTATGCATAAGTATATATATATATATATACACACATATTTATATATTCATATATGCCCGCATGTGTATGTACATATATACATATATATATATATATATATACACACATATGTACGGTACTTACATCATGTGTAAACAAATAGCTCGCTGGAAGGGAAATGGGTTGTAACGGTGTTGACAGGCCTTGTATCCGGGAATGACCTCGCATGATGTCCCCGAGCCAGAGTTGTATGTGACAATCCTACGCCATACTCGCTGTTGTACTACCTTCGGCCTTCGACTCAACTCATCCTGGAACCTAATCCCCTTCACACTCGCACCAAACTTCTTTGAAACAGTGCTTGCTTGGCCACTGAGCGAACACCAGGCACCTTGCAAAGCGCAAAGCATGCGGCAATCAACGCCTTAGGGCCTTGGGACTTGGGGGGGCGGGTAGGGGGTTCAGGCCCTCCATCAGCCTAAAACATGCAGCGCTCAATCGGCAAGGGAAAACAGAGCTATGCCTTCAGATGAGGTGCGCAGAAGCAGAATGGGAAGGTCTCCACCGCGACAGCTCTGCAGCAGAGCGAAATACTTTGTCAGAACCTGCACTGGGCATGCTGAGTCAACATTGATTACTGCTATGCCGCTGTCGCCCTGCTGATTGCCATTTGGACACTGCCGGTTTTCAGCCCGACACCGAGGCAAAAGGTTTCTCGGGGTCCGCATTGCAGCTGACTTCTGCCAAACCAGTCACTGCAAGTAGACGCGTCTCGAAGACAAAGCCAGTTTCCAACAATCCCCGTCCTTAAACCCTATAAACCTATACACCCTGGACCATAAACCCCTGCTTCTTCTCCGCTTGCCGGTACCTCGTCCAGCCGCGACCGAAGGCTCAATGGGAACGTGCTGGCAACCTGGAGGGACGAACTGCAGATCCATGGTCAGCTGTGAGTCATGTAGGGGCCTTAATAATTAGAAAAGGCTTTTGGGGTAATCATACTATAACTAAAGTATGATTAAAGGCCCCTATAGTATGCTTATCATATGATATGTACTTTGACTGAGTAGCTGTAACGGGAGCTTCCCGATTATGCCTTCTTACTAAATCCTCTCATCCTTGACATTGAAATAAGCTTACCCTTAACCCCCCAGATACCTACTATATAGGGTGCTAGAGCCCCTAGGGCCCCATGTAGTAGGTACCTGGGGTTAGGCTTCTACCAACATTTGCAACCCCCAGACAGAGTCTCTCAGTCGTGGGGTCCTATGTACTGCTCCTTCGATCGCCTGAGGCAAATATAACTTCAGTAATGTAGGGGCCTTAATAATTGGAATAGGATTGGGGGGAGGAATTATACTATAATTAAAATAGTATTAAGGCCGTCCAGGCTTGCGCTGCCGCATGACATGCCGCCGCGAAATCAGCGTAGAGCAGCTTAGGTTCCCTGCCTTTTAAACTTGACTTTCAGCACTGAAGCATGTGAAGTCCCTGCGGACAGGACCTCCGAGAGGATCTGCACCAATTGCACTGGCAGCTTCTCCTGCGCAAGGTTCGCGAAGGAAGAACAGCTGAACGACTTCTGATGCGCCTTAGCCCCTCAAAAACCCAAGGCTGGACTGGGAGATTGATCTGGGTTCGCTTGCTGCTAGGGTCTCGCAGCAGTTTTAGATCAAGCAGGGTGGAAAGTCAAGAAATATCGAAATCGACTATAGATGCGGACTCAACCATCTGGGGCCGGTCCAGAAACTGACCCTCTGTACCAAGGTATGTCAAGGTGTTGACCACCCCGACCCCCAACGGGAACATCTACGCAAATGTCTGTGATTCAGTCCTTTTCAGACTTTTCCGAAGAAGATGAAGCAATGCCAGCCAAGAGGTCACCGATGACCTAAGCTTCGCGACAACCTCCTACTGCTCCTGCTGAGTACAGACATGAGCACGGATATGGATACGAACAGGGACATGACGTGATGACGACGATGACGATGATGGTGGTGGTGGTGGCGGCGGTGGTGGTGGTATTGCCTGCCCTTGTGTGCCCGAGTTCGGGCTAGCATAAGTATACAACTGCTAGGAAATAATATTATATATATATATATATCTCTCTCTCTCTCTCTCGCCACGCATACTGCCTCTCCTACGCCATCTGCTGCTGCTGCTGCTCCTCCTGCTCCTGCTCCTGCAGTGCTGGTGCTAGTGCCGGTGCTAATGCCGGTGCTAGTGCTAGCTATATAGTGCTACTGCGACTGCAACTGCTGCTACTGTTGCTACGACCATCACCACCACCCGGTACTACTACGATTCCCTTGGTCCGAAGCCTTGTAGGACCCTGTAAAAATTTTACAGAAAGGCCAGAAACCCAAACTTCCCTGACCACTGGCATCGGGGGGCCAAGTCCGGGTGCATCGGGGCCAACTCTACGAGCACGTCGGCTACGGCGCGCTGTCGGGCATCCCCTGCCCCCACCAAAACCTCTGCCACCAGGTGCCTGCTCCGAGCGGGGTGGCGTTTCAAAGGTCGCATGAGAGGTTTGATTCATGAGATTTCTAAGGGTTTTGACAGGGGTATCCTGGTTTAGGGTGCAAAATGGGGCTGGACAGCGGCTGTTGTTCACGGGACAAAGGAGAGACGTCACCAGCTTTCCAATTGGGCGGTGAAGCCCATAGGCTTGTCTGACAACAGCTGCAACGCAGTGAAATTCCAAAAAAAATACAAACCTCACCAGGGCTTCTGTCTGATTGCTTCCCGACAGAAGTGGTGACAGAGAGGGGCGAATGCCTGATTGGTCTGCAACTTCGCGCTCTGCCCAGATTCTCCAAACGCGTTTTGACTAGCCCGCCATGTCATCCATACTAGAGCCCGGGAACCGCTTGCATGAGGCTCAGGTAAGGGTCTAGTGAGTGGTGCTCTAGACACTACAATCCCTGGAGATTGAATGCCCCGAAGCCAAGGGCAACCACAATCCGAAATGTGGAATCTGGCCTGGTGAGGTTCTTGGCCAAGGTCCTGTCGACCTGTCGTCGAAAAGTTACAGTCAGCCCGCACTACGTTCGTAGATGGGATTTGAAGGGTGTTCGTCAGGTTTATAGAGCACAGCTGGTCCTCCAGTTACGCTCGTGAGTTTTTGCTCAGAACCTTGCTGACGGGATTAGCGTCATGGCTCTGTCGAAAGGGTTGAACCTGAAAACAACGCGAAAACACTAAATCGTGACCCTTCAGAGGGTTTCGTGCCAGGGGTTCGGAGCTTGGATGTTCAAGTTCAGGGATTAAGACAGATTTGGGAGTTTCCGAGAATAGGGGACCCTAATATAGTATCCTAAATAATAGGATCCTTATCATAAGGACCCCAAAATAAGGTACCCTAATTTTCGGAAACCCCATTTAGACAGCTTCAAGGCCGATCCCAGCAACCGCTACCCCGAGCTCTTCGCCGAAAAGTCTGCGTGCTGACAAGTCGACCATACAAACAAGGCTCCAACACCCAATAATTTGAAACATGGTGAACTGAAGCGGCTGCTAGTCATCATTCTCATGTTCTGTTCTGCTTGCACTGGTGATCTCTTGGGCCTGAGATGCCTGTTATCACCCATTACGCTTTCAGTGCACACACATATTCAGACCAGTGCCATCATCACTCGCGGTGTCTCAACTTCCACGCTGGCTCACCCTGAAACTGGCACAGTGGTACCAAGGCATTGGCGCCTCAAGAAACAGACGAAGCTAAGACTCCATGGATCCCGCTGAACCTTGTGCTCTTATCGTACTATAGAACGTTCTAGTTGTACTAAAGTAATACTATACTATAGTAACACTATCGTAGTACTATATCATACTATCATTGTAAGCTTTACAATAACATCAAAACTAACCCTCAACCCGAAACCCCCCGACACACGACCTTAAACCCTAAACCATGAATCCCCAAAAAACCCGGAATCCTAAAACTCTCAGCCCCCAAGCCAGAATACCCAAGAGCCAAAACAAAAACAAGCCCCAAAACTCTGAAAACTTTGACACCCAGAGACCTCCTTCAGGTGAAAACTCCGAGGGCCCTACTCATAGGATCATGGGACTTATTAACTAGGGTGATGCATAAGGTATCTATACTTATACAACCACCTCTTACATCAATTCGGTTACTTATAACCCCACTTACTAAGCCCTAAACCCTAAACCCTAAACCCTAAACCCTAAACCCTAAACCCTAAACCCTAAACCCTAAACCCTAAGTCTCATGATCCTTGAGGTATGGCTCCGAAGTGCCTCGCAGGGCTTTCCCTCCGTGTCGCTACGTCTCGTCTCGAGGACTTGGCAGAGGAGGCGAAGGAGCTGCAGCCTAGGGGTTTTAGGGTTTTGGGGTTTAGGGGTTGGGGGTTTTAGGGTTTTGGGATTTTAGGGGTTTAGGGGTTTTAGGGTCTTGGGATTTTAGGGGTTTAGGGGTTCTAGGGTTTTGGGGGTTTGGGTTTTAGGGGTTTGGGATTTTAGGGTTTAGGGTTTTAGGGGTTTGGGATTTTAGGGTTTTGGGGTTTAGGGTTTTAGGGTTTTAGGGCTTTAGGGTTTACATAGGGTTTTAGTGTTTAGGGTTTACGGCTTTAGGGCTTTAGGGTTTTAGGGTTTAGGGTTTAGGATTTAGGGTTTCGGCTCCCGATTTACGGGGTTTGGGGGTTTAGAGTTTAGGGTTTCCATCTAGGGGTACTTTAGGGTTTGAGGGTATAGGTGAACAGCAGCAAGTGATCGCAACTGGCACGAGAAAATAGATGGAACGATCGCTCGTCGAGCATGAGTACCACTTATTGATAGCGAAGCAACAGTTTCTGTAGCAGCAACAGTAGCTCTGATGAGAGCAACCCAAACGAACAAAAGAGCAGAACGACGCCTCCTCCGGGAGAGTTACTGAATATGCAAGCGGACATTTTTTATTTATAATGCCCCCGAAATTGCGTTTTTTAAAGTAACCCACAGTATACTTATCAAAGCCCTGCAAATCCTTATCATTGCTATCTAAGTGGCTTGTGCTGGTCTGAGACCTTCTGTGTTTCCAGGGCCGAAAAGACTGCGGCCACCACCAAGGGAAAGTTCGTCTTGGCAATTTGAATCCTTGGGTCGAAAGTGGCTTACCCTAACCCCTCAGGTACCTACTCTATAGGGCCCTAGGGGCTCTAGTACCCTATATAGTAGGTACTGGGGGGTTAGGGTTAGGGTTCAGGGTCTAGGGTTGGGGTGGCGACTTTTGCGCTTAAAATGGGGATGATCACGGGACAGCAGCACAAAGTTGTTTAGGCTCGACTTGTGAAGACATGCAGGGGCGATTCTGCAAGCTGCTAAGTGTACGCCAGGCGGCAAGGAGGAGTTGATGGCAACCTGCACCTGCTGCGTGGAGGTGGCGCCACCTTTAGCACCCAGCAATGAGTAGACGACTTCCTTCACGAGGTCTGCATCGTCAACCATAGGGTTCAAGTCGCCTCAGCTGCTGAAACAGTCTACGGCAAGCATGCTGCGAGCAGACGTCTGAAGTTTAGGGTTTAGGGTTTAGGGTTTAGGGTTCAAGGACAAGTCACCTTGATTATCGGTCCGGGCTGACGGCGCCTTGGTGACAATCATCCTCTTTCCATCCGACCGCATGCCCAAGCTGCCGTTCCTCGAAGGGAAATCCATGGCCACACTTCGAACAGACGGTGTTCTCGGACTAGCAGCTATGGTAGCTGCGACTCTGGTTGCGTGCTTGTCTTATTCAGACAGCCATGTCTGCATATTCTTAACTCTCAAGAACAATCATCTTACACGACTCTTATTGTACTTCTTTTGCGTCACACAAACGATCACAGGATGTCTTGTGGAAAACGAAGAATTCGAGATGGGTCTTCCAGGTTTCGCCTTTCATCGCAACCACTTCAACGAACACAATGGTAATGATAAGAGCCATAGTTGGACAAGAGCCAGTGATGGTATTTGTGACCCTTCGGGCCGTTGTGGTTAAACGATATCACCCTGGGTGACTTAACATAAGGCGAACATGGCGAAGAAGCTGAACAAGCTCGAGTGAAGTGCAAGCACTGGTTTAAGCCCCGTGTGTGTGTGTGTGTGTGTGCGTGCACTTAAACACTAAGCGAAACGAACAGCCCTGCTGCTCGAAGATACGAACCACGGATCTAAAGCATTGGACTCTTTGTGCTGAAATTCGAGGCCCTACGACAGTTCGACTGAAACATGTTGGTTAGAAACCATGATCGCGCAACCGCGTGCAGGCTGGCACCAAATGCACAGAAAGTCGGAACCGAAACAACGTCATTTGCAATCCCATCGCGGATTCGATTGCTGGAACTGGCACAATACTATAGCGATATGCACTACTCCAGCTGCTCGTGCAGAATGGCTTTATTCCAAATGCAATGGTCAAGAGGAAGGCTGACACTGTGTTGCGATGATAATCACTGGCGGCAGTGTTGACGGTAATTCTTCAATGATGCAAGGCGCCGATGAGGAAACGGACGGTGATGATGATGGTGGTGGTGATGATGAAGATGATGGGGGTGGTGCTAATGATGACTGTGCAGATAGTGAAAAAAGTGATGATGCCCGCAACGACTGCCTTTTTCTCAGCTGACCGGTTGCAACTCTCATCCCAGCCGCAGCACGGATGCATCCTGGTGAGAAGCGGGACTCAGGGTTCAGGTCTGTGGCTGCAGTGCTTTGCGAGCAGCGATCCCAATCCAACAGGATCTGTATAAGGACCCAAGCAGATTGGGTTCAAAACACCCTGGAACTACCCTCCACCGTTTCTGAAAGGCCAGCACAAAGAAGGGCTTTGCACCGTAAGAAGATCCAAGCATCCCTAAGTCAAATGCTGCTACCTCCAGCGAAAGGAAAGGCTCTCTGGAAGAGACCCGGCTAAGGTGGGAACTTCGATGTCCATGTCAGCAGGTTGCTGCTGTTCCTCCGAACATAAAGTCTGGCTGGGGCTGGGGATTCAACTATAGACCTTACAGAGTTTAGGGCTCAGGGCTGGGCTTCGGCTTGACTTGAGGCGAAGAGCTTGGGGTGGGGAGGCGGGCTGCCGATTTACCAGGTGTCGTTCCTAAGAGCGGTTGCTCGCGCAATCTCAATAGAGGGCACAACGATTTGGGGTTCGGGGCGCAGGCTCTGTTTTGTGATGCTTTGACTGAGAGCAGGTGCAGTAATCAGTAGCGCGATTTGCCGGCGCAAGTCTGTGCACAGTATCAGCAGTAAGGATGCTTCTCTACTTTCAAGGAGTGCTGAACTGATCACAATCTGCTGCTGCTGCTGCTGCTGCTGCTGCTGCTGCTGCTGCTGCTGCTGCTACTAGTACTACTACTCCTACTACTACTACTACTACTACTACTACTACTACTACTACTACTACTCTACTACTCTACTACTCTACTACTCTACTACCAACAACTACTACTACTACTACGACTACTACTACTACTACTACTACTACTACTATTACTACGACGACGACGACGACGACGACTACTACTACTACTACTACTCTACTACTCTACTACTCTACTACTCTACTACTCTACTACTCTACTACTCTACTACTCTACTACTCTACTACTACTACTACTACTACTACTACTGCTACTCTAATACTACTCTACTACTACTCTACTACTACTGCTGCTGCTACTACTACTACTACTACTACTACTACGGCTACGACTACTACTACGACTACTACCAATTCTGCTACCACTACTACTGCTACTACTACTACTACTACTGCTGCTGCTGCTGCTGCTGCTGATGCTGCTACTACTAATTCTACTCCTACTCCTACTCCTACTCCTACTCCTACTCCTACTCCTACTCCTACTCCTACTCCTACTCCTACTCCTACTACTACTACTACTACTACTACTACTACGACCACGACGANNGACGACGACCACGACGACGACAACGACGACGACGACCACGACGCGACGATGCCGACTACGACTGCTGCTGCTACTACTACTGCTTTTCCTTCGCCTGTGAATAATAGCCATCAAGTTGGCAATTCCTAGTTCACGTTTCAGGGCTTAGTGATCCAGAGTGTAGTGCTTGAGATGTATGTTGCAAGGGTTTGATCTGTAAACAAGCCTGCAAACAATGGAACCCCTGCTTGCTGGGTTCCCGCCTTTAACCGTACTGAATATTCGCAACAACCAGTACTAATATGCAAACAACACATATGTATATTTATATATATATATATATGTATATATAACAAACATAGTTACAAGTATATGCATATATACACAATATACATATAACACAGAAACATATAACATAAATAATCTCTATACATTATATATATATATAATATGTTTATATGCACCGCACACTTTCTCGAAGGGACCCTGTTGCCCGGCTCAGTGGCAGCAACCATCACATTGGCGGCACCCAGGCGCTCCTTGGGGTTCGTCCTGGGGTTGATGTTGCCATACCTGAGTTTAAGGTTTAGGGTTTAGGGTTTTAAAATTTAGGGTTTAGGGTTTAGGGTTCCAAGGTTTGGCATTTAGGGCTTATGCGGTTCAGGGGTTACGGTAGGGCTTAGGCTCAACACATCCCAACAGCTTCGTCCACCTGCTTCAGGACGAAACTGAAGTTGCACTTTCGGCACACGCATGGCTCTGACGTCATGAAGCAGGAACTGAACCCTAAACCCTAAACTTACACCCTAAACTCTAAACCCTAAGCAGGAGTTGACCCTTGCAATCTGAGACGGCTGCTTTTCGAAAAGCTGCTGCTTCAGAAGCTGCTGCTCTCTGTCCCGCCTCGTCGTGGCGATGCTTTAGAGGCTTTACTCACTACTAAGGATAGTCCTGCGATCATGTCTTACGACAGAAACACATGCTTTGACTGCTTTGATGATCTTCACTATCATCGTTCAAAATGTAATGACCATTGTTGCAAAATTTGGTTCTTGTTGCCAAGATGACCAGTGCCGCGCTTCTTGCTACTACGCACTGCAGAAGCCGAGTCGCCAAGTGGTTGAGAGTTCTTCGCGCGTGGGATCCGCGACGGTTTATGGTTGTAGATCTCGGGCATAGGATTGGTGCCAGTTGGCAGATGCTTTCCGTTGCAGGACAAACTCAGGTTATAATGCTGGAAGCCAGCGCTGAGTTGTACAGGGTTGAGGCCACGAGCCTCCAATATCTCTCAGGCCGGCAGCCTTTCTTAAGGAAGTGAAACGAGTGATCGCACCCAGAATTAGCATCCCCACGAATTCGTCTGATCTGGGGCTTGTACTAAACTACTTAAAGGATCATGGGACGTAGTAAGTAGGGTTATAATTAGGGTAACTATACTTATAGCCCCAATTAAGGGACTTATAACCTTACTTACTAAGTCCCATGATCCTCCAACTAGGATGGACTTCGCAAGACCCTAAACCCTGAACCCAAAACCCAAAACCCTAAACCCTAAACCCTGAAACCCTAAGCCCTAAACTAGGATGGACTTCACAAGGGTCCGCGTCATCGACCAACTCCCAGCTGCACCAACACCTACACTCCCGGTGAAAAAAGGAGTGGTTTAGGGTTTAGGGTTTAGGGTGTGGCCTATACAGGACCCTACAAACTGGGCCTTAATAATTGGACTAGGGTTTGGGGGGCCCATTATATTATACTTATAATAAGGACCCCCCCAAAAAAATATGGTAATTATTTCCGCCCCTAAATTATATTGACGAACCCTGGACTCTAAGTCCATCGAACCCTAAACCCGAGAGCAACTCCCTAAACCCTTTAGAACATATCGGATACGTATAATTTGAAGCCCAGAGCACCCTAAACCCCATTACCAAACGATGACCTAACACCTCCCCGTAGACCCCTTGTAGTACCCCGTATAGAGCCCTTCTATCGTGGCCGTGATTATGGTTCCTGTGTACAACTTTCCTGCGGGTCTGAATGCCCAGGCAGTAGGGCTTTAGGTTCCGAATACCATCCTCTGAGTGGTTTCATTTACCTGGAACCCTACTCTTTGGTGACTTGGACCCCTTTTTTAGGGCAACACTTCAGAAACCCCTAAACCCCAAAACCCTAAACCCTAAAACCTAAACCCTAAACCCTAAACCCTAAACCCTAAACCGTGAGGGACCTAAACCCTTAAAAAAAAACCCAGGCAGACGACTCCGTCTCGGGACGGCCAAGGATGGACTCGTCGGCCATCTGCTTCCTATGCTCAACCTTTCGGGGGTCTCGGGGTTTGGGGATTTAGGGTTTAGGG